TATATTGCAAAAACCAAATCAATTATATTACAACAAATATTGCCTATCAAGCAAACAACTATCTGACTATATTCAGTAAAACTCCCAGCTAATATTGTAGAAAGTCATAATCGTAGAGAATTCATACATCTTATGAAACAAATATCGTAAACTTGAAAAACATATGAAGGTCCCATTAATTAAACAATAGTGCTCAAAGTGAAAAAAAACTAACAATGAGAGAAAATACTTTTGTTATAGTTATTCTAACATTGTGTTTATCTTCTGATAGCGACGTGGTAAAACTGGTATAGCTGGTAAATACATCTTTTGCCTTCTACTTTCAAATATTGTTGATAAACAATTCTTAACTTGTTTTTGAGATATCGTTCGGAGATGTTTTTATTCGCAGAGCTTTAAGCCCCATTCTACGACTGAATACTAAATAACATTAATTAGAATTAGACACTAATTATGAAACAAATTGTAGTCTCGAAATGTTTATAACAGTCAGCATTATTTTATAATTATTTGATTATAGATCCGCGATTAATAATTCAATAAAAATATAAATGAAATAGATGAATATAAATACATGTAACTGATGTTTAACTTATTTCGTACAAAAGTAATATTTGTAATATTTTACCTATATGTACGATAAATTTTATTTTAAAAAAACATGTTTCATACCAGATAACAAATCATTTTTATTGATATGTATTACTATAAAAAATGCGTTTCACGTAACGAACTCGCGCACGCATCAAATTAAGTATTATAGGTACGTTATGCGAGGCACTACTGTATTTGTTTCATTTATTCAACTCGGCATTGATGATAAAGATCGTAATCTCCAATTATATGTATAGTATATATAATATATACTAGATTGTGCGGTACGGAGCATCAATAAATATATATATTAGGACATTAGTATTCGGCGGCGTCACACGGACGGAAATAAACGTCAGCTGTTGTACATCGACAGAGACACTTTGTGAAATCTCATTCCAATCAGCGTGGGGCCGATTGCTAATTATTGGCAATGCCAACTTGCACACAAATGAGAATTTGTCACAGCGAGAATATATAATATCCTATACAATTAATTGCAATATAATAAATATCGATTGGTTGTTATTAGGGCTGATAATTACTAATTGTAAAGCTACAGAGAAAGTGCACTAAAGTTTTTTTTCACTAAATAAGATAATCAATCATTTTCGTATTTTATTCGATCTATCTTAAATAATTTATTTATGCGGTTATTACTTCATATATATAAGTATACACGTATATACCCTTAACTTTTCAATTAGGGCTGATAAACCAATAAGTAAAAAAAAAATTTACAATTTTGATTTCACTACTTTGCTTATATCGTTGTCAATTACTAGTTCTTACAGAAAAGTTTTATTGTGTTATTGAATAGCATTTATATTCAGTAGTATCGAACATATAAAATTTTATGTATAAAAATCAAATCAATGTAATATACTGCACAGAACGTTTATTAATATACATGTATTAATTACAGTCCAAATTATAAAGTTAAAATGCAAACTGTGCAATATAAATGTAGTTTTTTTTAGTTTGTGTATCAAGTGAAAACTTTTCCTATTTTCGGAAAAATATATGATAGGTACAGATCGATGTGTTAAAATAAAGAATATCATCTGGGAATGATATTAATTTTATTCAAATTTCACAAATTTGAAAAGTTTTAAAAAAATCAATAATAACATTACTATGAAGTAAAAGTATGAAATAATGAAGTAAATTTTTGCTGACCTATCTAACTCAAGTTTTTTATTTCTAATATTCAATATATTTTTTCTATCGTCATATATATCTGTATATATATATATATTATATATATATATATATATATTTATGTGTGTGTGTGTGTGTGCTGCGTTCGTACGTGAAATCGTACTATCGCTCTGTAATTCCAAATGCGGTGGAGCGATCGGGTACTTTTGTGTAGAATCGATGGCTTCTACTTATAAGTCGACTTGGAAAAATTAATGTTAACCGAAGTATCCAAACCAAATATTATTTTTAATTCATTCTATAAGGATTATATTGAAATATATTAAATGTTATGAGTGCATATTACGACCAATGTATTTTAAAAAATATAAAAAATATGCATATAAAAAATTTGTTTATTGTAAATTTTGTTATTTAACTATCATTAAATAACAAAAAAGCGACATTTAAAATTTTTATTCAATGGGTTTAATAAAGCAATATTTTTATAGTATTAGAAATGTTGCCATAAAATAACAGGCATTTGGAAGCAAACGAACTTGTAGCGTTTTGGTATCTTCCCGGGAGCTCTGGGCTGGAGGGCGTAACGATCTGGTTCGTACAGAATTGTTTGACTTGCGCAATGGAATGACTCTACAACATCACATTAATAAATCAAAAAGATAGGAAAAAATTGTAGAAAATTTAATAGAAAATAAGAAAATATATCCTGTAAAATGATTCAATAGAATCCAATTATAATTGTCATCCGTAAATTAATCTAACAATGTGTAGCAATAAAATTTTGAAACTATGGTATGAATGTAAGAAAACAAGAACTTTGTAGTTCTGCCATAAAATATTTAAAAGAAAGTTTCAAAAAAAAAAACTGAGACAGATAACTTATAAAGATGCTTAAATATTGTTTCTATCAAATCAATAAACCAAATCATTGAAATAACGTCACTGTAGTGTCATGAGGTCAATAACTTCTTTTTTATGCAGATCTTGAATGCACACCGCGATTTATAAAAATAACTAATATGAATATAATCAAAATAAATTCATTTATATATTGAATAAAATTATGAACTTTCAAATTGAAATGATTAAATTTGAATACCCTTTTTAGATAAATGATTTAAAAAATATCAAATCAACAGAAAAACTACGCGTTGTGACAGAAATACATAACTGAACGATGAACGCATTTTATCACGAATGTAATATGACTATTATATGCCTGCAATTAAATATAATAAATACAGAATTACCAGTCTAATAATACAATACGAATATACTTTTTATCAACAACTTTCTTAAACTCAAAAAATAAACTGAGATATACTAAACAAATTGATTGTAGGAAATGTGATGGAATTAGATAAATTCGTGAACTTATAATTAGTAAAATAATAAATAATTATAATATTAATTTTGGCAAAAAGTAGGCTAGAGGAATAACTATGCCATTTTTTATATTTTATAAAACAGTTTTCATGTACTATGTAGTTATATCTTATTTCACACAGCGAGCATGTTCTATTCGTCAGAAACATGTTCTGTATGATAAGATCAAATCCAACAATAAGATAATTTTAAATTTAAACTATTTTAGGTTTTCGAAACCTGGCCTTATACATTATATTGTATATAACATTAACAAATACATTTCTAAATATGAATTTAAGGACGTAATTTACTCAGGATATGTGGGAAACTAAACCTGCATCATTTATATGTATAATTTATTCCCTGAAATAATTCCCTCGGCGTAATTGGTATGTAAGTCTGGGGCTTACTGAAGGAATCGTATGCGACGAACATAATTGGAGCAAAGTTGCCCCAAGTTAATAAATCGAATTGTAGAATTGACGGCTCAGATCTTGATATTCATCAGCTACTTTTATTATGTATTAACTAATATTTAATAAAATGTTCTAACATATGAAATGTTAATCTAATGTATATTTGATAATATGGAGTAGATTAATATTCAATGATGCAATATTGTATCATTACATTTTAAGTAGAATGTTTATTAAATTTTATCTATTCAATTCAAATAAGTTACTGAAATAAGAATGGACATCTTCAATTTATCTGATATGAATTTATTTTTAATTCAAAATATCAATCAAAAACTATGTACTGTACAGAAATAGAATTTGTTGTACGTTACGGAATAGAATCTTTGTGTTTGGTTTTGTCAGGAAATATGCAACCGAACAGGATAATCTTTCATGAATTTTTGTAATACAGATTGAGTGAAAGGCATGTATAGAAATACATTTTCTTAATAGAATTGTAATTCAAATAATAAAATATTGACTTAAGAAGTGTAAAATAGTTTTCATTTACGTGATATTTAAATTATTAAAAACCATCTAATTAAAATTAGTAAAAAGTAATCAGAAATTGTGGCACTATTTTTATAGTACTTATCTGTTCATTAAAGTCACTTTGCCATCCGCACGTCTCGTAAAAATTTATTCACTCGGCGCCTGTATTGCTAATACCTATTACTTGGCTTGTCGCCGACCGTTCTGATTTGTATTTGCAAAATTATAAATTTTTAAGTCTTAATTATGTTGGCGAGTATGACTCATTGTTACCTAAACAAAACACCATCATAATGGAAAGATTGCTGCCACTGGCCAAGAACGATGGCAATGTGGTGTCGCCGGATGGCATAGTGTAAAAAATATCAAACTTGTTACAAACCATAACAAAATATATTATTGGTGTATTATTATCTTTAAAATAGCGGATCATTTTTTTTTTTTTGATTTTTATTTGAACAGCGATCAGAACTTATGGATTCTATGAGCTGTTGTGATGAATCTCTTACAAACTACGCTTGTTTTTATTATAGATGGCAACCCAAACAGTTGTCTCATCTCTATGTGCTGAATTTTTATTATTACAATTGTTGTAATAGTGATGATTTTACTTCCAAGTGGCATGTTCCCACTACAGCTATGCCCACGAAAGGCCATTTTCACTTGAAATCATATTTGAAATCTATGATTTCAAGTGAAAATTTGGTATCAAGCTGCTTTGATACCAAACCGACCGAGGTTGGATTCGAACCCGGGACTAGGATTTGCTGGCCCACGTTCTTACCACGGGACCACGGACGGCCCATAGCGGATCATTGAATAAATAGTTTTAAATAACAAAAGTTTAGGAAAAATATATTGGGACGATTACAAAATATAATAATAATAAATCATCAAAGACGTAATCTCTGCATCAGTTCTCACCAAGATTCGTCCGGTGGTAGTTTGTCCAGATATCAATTCGCCCGCCCAATCTTTCGCTTCGGTCATGAAGGTCCCTTCGAAATCTTGCTTTCCTTGTCGCGCTGCCGCCTTCTGCTCCTTTTGTTTGGGGTCATTGGGGGCCAACTCGGGCTCCTTACGGCAGCATAGAAACGCAAATACGCGCCACAGCAGCACCACCAGAAGACCAGCGACGAACGTGACGATACTCGAGAGCACGAAGCACCACCACTTGCGCACGCGCAGGCAATCATCTGCGTCGCCGGCCCCGTCACCACCGTCGTCGGCGGCGCCGGTGACGACGACGTCGGCCGGCGACGCGCTGACGCCGTCCGCGCCATCGACGCAGGACACCATCGGTCACCGGTCGCCACGGACACTCACCGCGTCGCGCGCTCTTCCGTCACGCGATGCCCGTTGTTACGATCGGCTGCCGATAATGGCGGCATCACACCACGCACAGCCACCACCACAACAACAACAAACAAACAGACGACAACCAACGCAGCACGGGCTACTGCACTGCTGGAACTGATCGCACGACGCACGACGCACGACGCACACGTAGAGCGCGCGCGCGCTCGACGCTCGTGCACACAACGCACGCACGCACGCACGCAGATCGCACAGATCTAACTGCCTCGCTAGACCGGGCTCGCTGCACTGACGAGACTCGGCGGCACGACGCTGCTACAGCGACCGTACGACACTACCGCCAAGGAACGACGGTCGATATCGGACGAATGCGACACTGCGCATGTGCCCTCGACCCCCCTCGACGATCAAATGAATACAACGAGCAACGAGATATGTGTCAATCGTAGAACTACGATGCGCGGCCTTGAGCGTCCTTGCTACGAATACGTCACGGCGAGCACGTCACTGACAATAACATCTTTCCGATCCTCTCATTCCGCATTTTTAAATCAACTTTTCAATTAAACTTCTTTTCATTCCAAACGATGTGACAATAATAAATTTTTAATAGTTAACATTTAATACACCTGCTTTGTTTAAGTTTGTTCTAGTTCTCATGAAGTAAACAATACACACTATTTAATAAAATGTATTTTTGCTTTCAAACTGCAAAATATATATTGCAAGTATGCATTTCTATAGAAGACGTTCTCTGTGGCAAAAATGTAAGGAAAGTCTAGGCTGGTTGAAAACAATCAACCGCATGAAGAAAGCAAAGGAAAAAGAGTTACTTGGGCAACCAGTCCAGAACGTTATAGTTATTAGATCCCCCTGATTAGACTTTTCAATTTATTTTTTGTAAATAAAGTAGGTTTAAGGTATTATTGTGACTTAAGACAATGATGTATTTCTAGGCCATTAGGCTGAAATAAATAAATATAATAATATATTGCAAGTATTATTGGTGGCTCTTTCTGTTCAAATCCTTGAGTATAAAAATTAAGATTTTTGATTTCGGTAAGATTTTACTCGTTATTCAGCAAGATTTTTACTCGTTATTGAAGATGTACTATAATGAATGCAGCCATAACTATAAAAATTTCACTTTTACAACATACCATAACTGTATCAAACCTTTCTAACAAAAATAAATAAATAATTATAATATGTACAATATGTACATTACATATATATATATATATATATATATATATATATATATATATATATACTCTTCTTTTATCACTGTATGTATATATTTATTCATTATATCGACCTATCGACCGAAAGTTTTTTGAAATCTTTATAGCGACATCTGTCAAAAAACTCTGTTTGTGCAAATGGCGCGCAATCCATGTGCTATCTTTTTCTTCAAAGATGACACCACAAATGAGAAGTTTTTAAGGTTATTTTGAATTTTACCTTATTTGTTTACGTTTATATATATTATTTTTTATTTAACTAATTAATGAATATTTTGACGCATTCATTAATGCAAAAATGGAGAAAACAACGGATACTAGTAAAGATACGAAAAGCAAATCAAATGATAACACGAAGAAGGAATTGAAAGCAGAAAACAAACAAACCAAACCAACTGGCAATTGTTACTGGTATGATTTGATGAATTAACAGTTTATTTTAAGAACTTCAATGTATTTCTATTTATAGCGGTAAGGAAAGAAATTTGAATATTGTTGAATTACTCTGTGCTTCATGTTCTCGATGGTATCATGAGTCATGCATCGGTTACCAGCTAGGAAAGCTTGTTCCCTTCATGACAAATTATTTCTTCTTATGCAAGAACTGTTCTCCAACCGGATTGGAAAGTTTTAAAAAAAATCAAGCACGTAAGTTTTTTCAAAATAATATTTCAAATTTCAAGAATCACAACTATGTATATCTTTTTCAGTAATTCCACAGATGTGCGTTACAGCACTTGCCAATTTGCAGCAGGCGTCTGCAAAAGATGGCCAAAATAAGTTTATGTTCAGTAAAGATAGAGAAATCATTCCATTTATTGATCAACATTGGGAAGCAATGACAACAATGCCTAGACGTGTAACACAATCGTGGTATGCCACTGTGCAAAAGGCTTTGATCAAGGACACACATGTTTTATTTAATAATGAAGAAAACGCTGTAGAAGGAACAATGTTCGGCCTACTTTCAAAAGATCTTACAAATGTTAAACCCAATTACGAAGCTATGATTAAAGGAGGCTTGTTAAAGGTTACTGATATGGGTATAACTCATGGTAAGTTAACAGATTTTTAATAAGCACTTATATACCAGGGTTTATAAAATATTTTATGTATATACCCATTTTCATCCAAGGGGAAAAAAGTTTTTTTTTTCAATATTTTTATTAATATAGTAATAATATTAATAATAATGCAGTATGTGCTAATTGGAAAATTAAAATGCAATATCCTAATTAAAATGTAATGTGGATATAGATTACATTTAAAATAGTATATTGAATATTAATTTTCAAATTAGCAAATACTGCATTATTATTAATATTATTACTATATTAATAAGAACATAGAAAAAAAAATTTTGAATTATTTTGTTTTAAATCTAACATATTTTTTAAATAATTTATAAAATAGTATTGTATAATTCAATCCTACTAAAGCATGTTTCATTAAATTTATTTTCAAAAACTGATAAAACATTTATGAAACCTAATACTTCATTTAACACATAATGCTACTGACAATTAACTGCCAAATGATAAAGGTGAACTTGCTATAGAAATATGATACCAGCACAAAATTTCATTCGTGTTAATCGCTTTTGTTTATAAACAATGTTTGTAGCTTTCAATAATAAAATTCTTTCAACATGACCATAGGCTTCAGTTCTGATTCACACCTCAATCAAGCAAAATGGAAGATGATGAAAGTAAATTTATTAATTTTAAAGTATTATCTATTAATATAAGACTTATCAATATGTGATTAAGATGTTATAAAAATGTTTTTTATCTATTTTCAATAGCTTTTATTAATATTGACTTACTAATTGCATCAAAATTATTATTTCAGTTCCCATGCAAAATGCTCTCAAAGGAGGTAGGAACAATAAAAGGCGACTACCTGGAGATACAACAACTATAAAAAAGGACGGGGTGGCAGTGAAGTAGTTCCTAAGTTGCCAGCGCATGGTTATCCATTGGAACACCCGTATAATAAGGATGGATACAGATATATATTAGCTGAACCTGACCCACATGCGCCATTCCGACAGGCAAGGATTTAATTTAAGACTATGACAAACTCTTATGAATATTAAATATTCATTTATTTCTTTTACATCGATTATAATCAATGTAATCGAGTTATATAATTTTAAAAAATCTAATGATGGTTATATATTATATAAGTTTATATATTTACCCATTGATTTTGTTGCGAACAATTCAATCAAATATACTAGCATCTTGAAAGCTAAAGAATTATTCATTGCAAATTTTGATATTAAAAGTCCCTTATATAATATATAACCAAAAATAGATGTTTTCTAAGTTTTTAGTATACTAACATGCTTTTTTAAAGTATGTTTTACAATATAAAATACATAATACTCACATTTTACTTAAATACAGGAATTTGATGAAAGCTCAGATTGGGCCGGAAAACCAATTCCTGGATGGTTATATAGAGCATTGATTCCGGCTAATGTTCTCTTAACACTACATGATCGGGCACCACAAATAAAAATATCTGAAGACAGATTAGCTGCAACAGGTGATAAAGGTTACTGCATGGTGAGAGCCACTCATGGTAAGAACAGTTCATCTTTGTGAAAAAAAAATTAGATTAGCTAAATATAAGTTATATAGAAATTTTTATAAAAATTATATTAACATGGATTTTCAAAAGAATTGTCTTAAATATCTTATGGTAAAAGTTAATAAACCTCATAAAAAATATTCTTTATTATATGCAAACTTTGAAATGTAATTCGGAAACAGCATTATGAGTTTTATGTCCATATATATCATTAAATTTATTTTTAATTAGGGGTCACTCGTGGATGTTGGTATTGGGAAGCTACTATTGAAGAATTACCTGAGGGTGCGGCTGTTCGACTTGGATGGGGTCAAGAATTAGCAAACTTGCAAGCACCTTTGGGTTATGACAAATTTGGATACAGCTGGAGATCACGAAAAGGAACAAGGTACAACAAAATTTTAAACAAATTTTTTTTTTTAGAATTACTAAAACTGTTTCTTCACAGATTCCATGAATCAATTGGTTCACGTTACAGTGAGGGCTATGGAGAAGGAGATGTGTTAGGATTTATGATTATATTGCCAGATACTCGTGATGTTAATCATACACCAAATACTTACAAAGATAGAGTACATGCTGGATTATTTATTATATTTGTTATGAGAATAATTTAATTGCTAACTTCATTTTTATATATTTATATTTTAGCCTCTTGTTAAATTCAAAAGTCATTTATATTATGAAGATAAAGATAAATAGCAGAGTCTTTAAAACTATTGAAACCATTAGAAGATACCCATATATATTTTTTCAAGAATGGGGTCAACCAAGGAGAAGCTTTTAACCATATATATGGAGGTTGTTATTTTCCAACATTGTCATTATTCAAAAATGTGACTGTCAGTGTAAATTTTGGTCCTAATTTTAAAGCAACTCCAACAACGGATTATGATTACAGACCAGTATGTATAATTATTGACTTAATGCGACAAAAAATAATTGCTAATTTATGTTGAATTTTACACAATGCATCATTTTCAAATTATATGCTTGTTTTGTATCGCTTAGACAATTACTATATTATTTATAGTTACTATACTTTCTTCAATTGAGATAATATAATAAATAAAAATACTGTGAAATTTGTGAAATTAAGTGTAAAATTGTTTCAGATGTCAGAAAAAGCTGAAGAAGCAATAAGTGAGCAAACCATGGCCGACTTGATGTATTTAACTGAAAATGATGGCAAATTAAGATTAGACAACCTTTGAGTTTGACTCAAAGTTTATGATTATTTCAATATTAGTACATATTTACTTTTCTGACAATGTAAATTTTTAATAAAGTAGACTTTATTCTTATACATATTTTAATTAAAATCATATATACAGTATAGAACACAATATTTATTTAACAAATTAATTTGTTAATGATACCAATGCATCAACTACATTGCCACCATGCTCTCGCAGAGTTCTTTCAGCAAGTGTTCGTGTGATTTCCATTTCATTCACCTTGAAAAAATGTTTTTGTTTAGAGACAATAAAATGCAATTAATAGATGGCCATTGAACCATCGAACAATTAAATTGAATAAAGAAACAGAACAAGCCGACTGTGTTTTACACAGTTATGTTAATTTTGAAGTCTATATATAAGATATTTGATTAAGTCTATATATAAGCAAATCCCTCACGTTCGTCTGATTTCGAATAGTTTTAATCATAGCTTTTTAATTGGTGCAGTTTATTACTTTTAATGCTTCTAGTCAGGTTTTGATCTATGTGTGTCAAAAAATACATACCATTAAATCCACATCTTCCTTTTTTATAGCAATTTTTTGTAACTCTCTTTCTCTGGCCAATCTAGCGGCAGCATCTTTATTTTGTCTATCTCCATAAAGTGATAGAGCCTAAATATTAAATTTTATAGTAATTATTGGAGTGATGCATTAAATCCCAATGATTATAGGTTAGTTTACCCCAGAAATGTCCTGTGAAGAAATTTCTTTTTCTTCTGCATAATCAGTAACTCTTTCTAAATCGGCGACACCACTGTCATGTTTTGCAGTTTTCTTTTGTGATTTGTCAGAAACATCTTCGGTAACTGGATCACCATTTACATCTAAATCTGCCATAATTTTGGGTCAATTTAATACAGCACGCTCAATTGCATGTAAAAGCTTGGTTATATTTTTCGAAGATTTGCTCCATCTATTTTATGTTTCGTCTTGTATAAGTCAAAGATGGCGATGTATTTCAATCAAATGTTAAATGAGATACCCCTAGACTTTAGATAATACTAAACTCAAGGTGTATGTGACATTTTTTCTTAACATTTGGAAGATTTTGATTTTTTTTAAACATTTTTAACTTCCCGTAGGGTAGTCATAGTGATGGGCCGAAAATCGAAAATGAAAATGTTTACATTTCTTCGCGTTTTAAAGGAATTTCAACATTTTGGCATACCTTATTCTCAGAAAAAATGGATGTGTGTGTGTGTCTGTGTACGTATGGATACAATTTTTCGTCCACGTTTTCGGGCGCACGGATCAACCGATTTGAATGATTCAAAAAACTTTCTGCTTGTTTTTACAAAATAATTGCTTTTTATATCGAAAATAATTCAGATTTTGATTTTAATTCTGACTAAAGTTCTAAAGCTCACTTATATACTTTAAATAAATAATAAGACAAATTGCTAGAACTTTCCGTATCATAATGATCGAAATGTTCAAAAAATATTAAATGTGTTCAAATAGATCATAGAAATACTAATATTGTCTAATATTTATAAGAATTATATAAACTGAATTCCAAAGTCATAATTATTTATTTAGAGTATATAAGTGATCTTTAGAACTGCAGCCAGAATTAAATTTTCCCCAAAAGCAATTATTTTGTCAAAACAAGCAGAAAGTTGTTTAAATCATTAAAATCGGATGCTTGGTTCTCTCAAAAACTGCCATTTTTTGCACATTTAGCTTGGTATCTCCAAAACGGCTGGACCTGCATTTGTCCAAAACTAATTCCTACTTCTACCCGTCATTACAAATTGAATGTTTTTTGGATCATTCAAATCGGATGCTCAGTTCTCTCAAAAACTCGAATTATATTTTCTGCACTCTTCGCTCCGTATCTCCGTAACGGTTGGACCTGCCTTTGCCAAAAACTAATAAGCACATCTCCCTATCAATAGTAATCGAATGTTTTTTGAACCACTGAAATCGGTTGATCCGTGCGCCCGAAAACGTGGACGAAAAAATGCGGACATACAAAACACACACACACCCATTTTTTCTGAGGTGTGCCAAAATGTTCAGAAATCTTCAAAATGTGGAGAAATGTAAAAATTGTCATTTTTGATTTTCGGCCCATTATTATAACTACCCTACGGGAAGTTAATTATTGATAGTAGTAATTTAAAAAAAAAAAACAGCGAAAAAAACTTTTGTGGTGTTTGTGTAGAGGTTTTTGACCACTATTTCATTTTTGAATTATCCACATCATGATAAGTTTAGGGTTTAAGAGCTTGTTTTGGAATGTTAAAGAAAGTTTTATGCGCTTATTAGCAACTTCTAAAAAACTCACAAAAGAAACGTATACTATGTTAGATGCCTTTTTAACAGAGACATAAATAATTAGAAATACAAATAAACCTGAATGATCTAACAGAAGATGAGCCATGGAAAGTTGACTTTCTTTATGGCCGGCATCGACCCCAGAGGACGGACGAGCAATATAATATGTCTCAAAATTAGTCTCAATGAAATGCAAATATAATTTTAATGCATATATAATTTCAATGCCAATATAATTTTAATAAAATTTTTGAAAAGTTTGAAACAAAAATGTGGTACGTGGTAATAAACGTTTCCGACCGTTCGCCCATAGTTGGCTATAAACAAATTTAGCGCCCTACTCAACTGATTAATTCGATTAATTACTTTATTTATACATGTTTATTTATGATTTTAATTAAATATTATATTACAATTCTTATTCTAAATTTTCGTACAAAACAAAATATAATTTGAATGATTGCACCATTATTTATTTCATTGCCAATCATGCTTTATTAAATTAATATCTTATTAAATATTAAGAAAATATATTAGAAAAATATTCAACATATGAAATTAATTTTTCTTAAACTTTAATGGTTGTAAAAAGCTAGACTGTTTGCAATTATGCATAAGTAAATATTTTATCATTTCATAAACATGGGAAATTTCTCGGAACTGATTAACTAACAAGAGAAGTTGAATAAAACTGGGAATACCATTTGCAGATAAGCAATATTGGTTAATATCCTTAAAATAAATAAAACAAAACAAAATATATAATGCAAGATGGAATACTAAACTACAAATCAAAAAATGTAAAGAAAAATCTTTGAATGTGTGAACTTTCAGTATATGATATCATATTTTTCATGTAGAAAAAAAATTGTTTCATCCCAATACTTGCCAAAGGAGAAGTTAATGTTTTTGCCTGAATCGTTTAGGACATTGGACAAAATTTAAGAAACTATATGTGTATGTATATGAGCCAAATTTCGATTATCAAATAAATGATAGTGAGTAGAAAGCCACTAGTATTCCTTTCATTTTAAATATTGAAAGAAGCAATTGGATAAGACTAAAAATAAATTTCTATGTAAAAAATAACAAATAGGTATATATTTAAATTTGCAGCAACCTTAATATTAAATCGTATATCCATTTCTTAAACGCCTTAAATACTAATTACTTATATAAACAGTAGAATCGCGCCAATCTGAAATTTAAAAACCAGAAGTTGTCGGATTACTGGATTATAGTGAAAAAGTCATAATGAAATGGCGAAAAATTTTCCAACTGATCCAAAGAATTGTTCAGCGCTTCGATAGCTGCGAATGCAATACCGATGGAAAATTTCAATACCGGTATTTCGGTAATTTTTCATTTTAAAACCGGAATACCGGTAAATTACCGGTATTTTTATTATCTTAAACAAACGTAAACAAAATTGAAAGTTACTAGCACAAATATAAAAAAATGTATATACAACTACATCTATATTCAACTAAACAATAAAAACATTAATATAAAACAAATACTTTATTTTTTAAAATAATAAGTTACCAAAATCATATCCAATTTAATTAATTCATTGTCACTATCGAGTATATTGAGAATTTTTCACCAAAAACAAACTTATGAGTAAGAAAGACTAAAAACTCATAAAAGATCATATTTCATTATTACAATAAACTGTATTGTCTGTATCCGATGTGCTAAATTAGCATAATCTCCAATATTTTAAAAAAATAATTTTTCTATATTAATTTAAGATCGGATACTTTGTCGAGATAAATAATAAGTTACTATAATTGTTAAATATTGTTATTTAAAACAATTTGATTCTTCTATAGCATTTTCAAACTTTGAAACGTTTGTATTTTTGGGGTAAATGCCAGTAAAAATACTGCCGAAAAATCGGGCGGTTTACCGGTAATTCGGTATATACCGGTATACCGGTATTGCATTCCCTAGCTGGGAGTATCGGATTATTGGAGGTGTCGGTCTATCAAAGTGTCGCATCAGCGAGATTCTACTGTACTTACCTTATTCTTGAAAAAAGTTTTAACTTTAAATATAAATTGAAAATATCACAAATCACCCCTACTAAAACAAACTGTAATCAAGCGATATATATTTAACTAGGATTCGCCTTTATTGAAAAACTTTTGTTTATAAATAATATGTTTATTTCAAAATATGTGTAGTAATCGATGAGATAATATTTAAACATGAATATTATATAAAATATTTACTAAATTATGTGAAATCATGACAGAAAAACTTTTTTGTCCATATTTTGTTAAAAACTTTGATCATAGAACTAGATCTATATATTAAAAATGAATCAGTTTTCATTAGTTTTAATTATATTTATATATTAACACAATTTCTAATAGAGTCAAAAAACTATGTATTATCATTCATTCATAATAAAATAATTATAATTTATAATGTTTTTGAATAGCAATTTATTCTAATTCAAGCGCCTAACTAATAAGTTAAAAAAAATATATGTTTTGTACTACGAAAATAATTAAATCCGCAGTTCTGCAAATCTGCAGTATTAGCCTACTAGTTTGTTTTTGTTTTAATAAAAAATATGACTTGTATTATATCATCAAGTATTAATGGCAAGTTTATCGTCGCCGGTGAATAACCATAACATTATCTTTTTGCGACGAGTATAAGAAGACGGTGATGTTAACAA